CTTCAAAGTCTTATTTACTGAAGATAAAAGAAAAATACTGTCATTATTGATCCTGAATAAACACATACCTACACACACATCACATCACATCACATCACGTCACACATCACATCACAAAATACTCATTTATCTAGGATAAAAGAAATCTCCAGTCAGTTCCAGAATCTTAACATAATATTCAGTTATTCCTTATTACTCAGATGAAATTCACAATGCAGTAATAACTACCTAAGGATCTAAGAATATTAACATGAGGTTCTTTGATATGCACAAACACCCCATCTACTTTCATTTGTAAATTTCCCCTAGGATGCATTGTTACAGAAACAGAAATCCACATAACAAAATATACATACCGTATAAATAGTTAATAATGCTATAGTTCAGCAGATGACTATTTACTTCACATTTATGGCTGATGTGGAGAAGGCCTTTGAATTTTCCTATTTCTCTCTTTTTATACCACCCTTTTTAACAAAAAAGTAAAGGCTCAGTAGTTCTCTTGGGCCCTTTTCATGGCTACATTGTGAATTTAATAAAAGTTGCTAAACTAACTTCACTGGGGATGATTGATTTGTATCAATTAGACGTGACCTTATCCAGAGCATAAGGCTGAGTACATCTTTCTGTCTGTCATGTTTATAATTTTTAACAATTGATAACACTCAAGTTTGAAGAAACAGAAACCACCAGTGGGATTTGTGCTGCCCCTTTCAAGTAAGCTGCCAAGTCAGTTTTCAATGCTGTTCTTGCTCATTCATCTTTGTTCGTAACAATGAGGCAAGTTCGTAAGTTTGTTGAAGTTATATTCTTTTTACAAACAAAGTGCGTCATGCAAAACGATCTCGAGGAGTCACCTTCTGAAATTTTGCACCTAAACTTTGCACACAAGAGCATGCCATTTGTAGCAGATGCTGTTGGTGCGCTGCCCAGATCCCCCTAACCAGCTGGCCTACCCAGTGCTCAGCTGCTGTGGTTGGAGGCTAAGCGCTACCCACTTCTCTAGGGATTGCCTTTGGTTGATCGCAGCCACGTTGCAAGTCAGGCAGGTGATACTTGTAAGGTTTCTCTCCCAACAAGGGGCCAGCAAATGACTGATCGATGCAGGATATAATAGCCCAGGCTTCTTCCCTCTGGGCAGGACAACCTCTGTGGTTCCATTCATCTTCCACAGCTCCCCATGAAATTAGGCTGGTGCTGAATCCCTCCTGAGATCACATCCTTCCCTCAGGTCTTTCCCTGCTTTATTCTACTTCTCTCATACCCTGACACATTTCTCCTCAATAAGTCACTTGCACTCGATTCCCCATCTAAGCTTCTATTTCTAGGAAACTTCACATAAAACATTGTTTTACCTTACTAGTAATTATCTAGATAACCTTTGGGCCACAATCCGCTGGAAATACTACTGAAATTAGTAACTATATCACATAGCAAATAGGAATTTTTCATTTTTCTCTGATTGTCAGAAACTAGATAAAGTGGATAAATATGCAGATAAAATATCTGCATTTTTAGGATCACGTATGGTGGCTCAGGCCTGTAATCCTATTATTTTGGGAGGTGGAAGCAGACTGATCACTTGAGGTCAGAAGTTCAAGACCAGCCTGAACAACATGGTGAAACTCTCTCTACTAAAAAATTTTTTAAAAATCAGTAGGCGGAGGCAGGAGGATCGCTTGAACCGAGGAAGGAAAGGTTGCAATGAGCTGTGACTGCGCCGCTGTGCTCCAGTGAGACCCTGTCTCAAAAAAAAATTATATATAGATAGATATAATAGATAGATAGTGGTGATATATAGATATATAGTGGCGATATATAGTGTGATATATATATGGTGTTCTATCTATATGTATATATGGATAGACACACCCACACATGTATCTGTTTAAATCACTTTGATGGCTTGAAAGTGAATCTGCTCTAGGAAGCCCTTTCTGCTCTGACTGTCCAGGTCTGGGTCTTTATTCCTTCCTGTGCCTTCTTTTGATTCACTTTTCCTCCTGAAAGATGATTAAAAACAAACTACATATTGACTACCAACTAGGCATAGGCAGAGACTGAGTACTCTTAAAGATGTTATTCCACTAGAGTCTCATAAGAGTTCATTGAGGGACATATCATTATTTTCCCTACTTTATAAATGATGAAATTGGAAGTCATGACCATTCATAATTCATAGGCAAGCAGGCAATAAATGCAGATTACTAACAGTATGCAGATTCAAATCCATGTCTGCTAATATAAAACCCACAGTGTTACCCAGTTCACCAAAGCCTAAGTTTAAAGATAAGTGCATGTGTCCCCTTTCCTGTGCTATGCCTGCAGCCATAGCTTCTGCTTCTTTCTAGCTAACAGTTCCCACCATGACCTTTGTAGACTTGCCTTTGAGCACTGGATCGGCCTTGCTAGTAGACCTTCGAGCTGGCAGCTACTGGCTGATGATACGGGGGAGCCCAGAAGCCCAGCTCCTTGTGTGTGTGCTACAGCTCCCCACGGGCTACTCAGAAGCTGTGGCTTCATCTGAAAGCTCACCCTTCTTTGGCTCCTTTCATTTCCCTGTCCTGTTTCATACCCCTTACCTCATACTGCTCTCCCCTGGGAGCACTCGCTTCACACATTATTCCATCCTGAATTCTTGGCTCTATGTCTTTTGAGAGAATCTTAATGCAATGCACAAAAAGGCATAAAAGTGGCAAGTACTAATAAACTCACTTTGGTATTAGGGACGTCTGTGTAAACTTGTGTTATTTCTGGTTTAAAGAAATTGTTAATTACAAAGTAATAGACATACATTGTAGAGAGAGAAAGAGAAAGAGAGAGAGAGAGAGAGAGAGAGAGAGAGAGAGAGAGAGAGAGAGAGAGAAAAGAGAGAGAGAAAATACAGGTAAGCCAAAATAAAACACTAAAGGTCAGAAAACTCATAATTCTAAGACCCAGAAAAATTACTATTTACGTGCATGTTGCACATTTACAAGTTTGATATTATACTACTTACTTGTAGTATACTTTTCATGCAACATTGATGGTCTTTTTATGCCAGTAAGATTTCCTCTACAACATTTTTGTTATGCTCATATAGACTTCAGTACTATAATTTTGGACGGCGGGGAGTGGGACCAATCTCACCGTGATGCTGATGCTGCTGGCCCATGGACCACTCTTTGAATAGCACTGATGTTCTTCTAGGCCACTGTTAGAACTGTGGCTCTGCTCTGTTTGGATTTAGCATTAAACCCCAAATAAACTCAGTCAATTGTGTAACTGTTCCCCTCACACAATTCCCCTTTAAACATGTTGTTGAGGCATTAAAATAAAAACACTTCATATGTGGGTAAAGTTAATGGGACCTAACATTAATGCGCACTCTCAGTTTATATTTGCAAGTCGCTGAAGGTGATCCCGGGACACCACTATATATCAAACCGACATTTTTAAAATGTTGTACTCACTAGAGTGAAAACAGAAAGTGATCACCTCTGAGAATCTGCTGTTACACTCATTTTCCTTGTTCCTGAGGGAAGCCAAGGGTAGGCATTTTCTCTCACATTTAAGAAATAAAGAGTCCTCTGATTATTTTAGAAAACAAAATGTCTTTTTATCAGGAGCCAGCTTGAAGGGTTTTCCACTAAATTAGGAACAATTTGAACATTAAAATTAATAATAATAGTAAACGATCATATAGGGGAAAATTAACTTTTCCTCTACCCTCTTAGGTTCAATGCCTAGAGCCTGTGAATTAAACTGACAAAAGGCATTTTAACAGAAGAAAAAAATTTATTTATGCATGCAAGGCATATACACTTGGGAGAACTCAGTGATGAGTAACTCAAAGGGATAGTTAAAATTCGTGGCTCATATATCATCTTGATAAGTAAAGGGGAGGGGAGAAGGCATTTATGTAAACACAATGACTTTTTTTTTTTTTTTTTTTGAGACGGAGTTTCACTCTTGTTACCCAGGCTAGAGCGCAATGGCGCGATCTCAGCTCACCGCAACCTCCGCCTCCTGGGTTCAGGCAATTCTCCTGCCTCAGCCTCCTGAGTAGCTGGGATTACAGACACACGCCATCATGCCCAGCTAATTTTTTTGTATTTTTAGTAGAGACGGGGTTTCACCATGTTGACTGGGATGGTCTCGATCTCTTGACCTCATGATCCACCCGCCTCGGCCTCCCAAAGTGTTGGGATTACAGGCGTGAGCCACCGCGCCCGGCAACACAATGACTTTTTAAAAAGATACATGGGATTTCAGGTGAACAAACAGGAGATAAAAATACATGTTAATGTTTATCTATACAGGCATAAATGGTCTGTAAATTTCCTTCGGGGCCATAAAACACTTCTGGAGAAGGGATTTGGGGTAGGATTATTTGTGTTCTAGAAGCAGATGAAACCTGAAGAGGAATTTAATGGCAGCCTTATTTTCTAGAAGTTACTGCTTGTAGTCAGATAAGCAAAGGTCTGAGAAGGCTTTCCTTTCCTTGCATATGGTATGTTAAATCTCAAATGTCTTTGGCTTAAAATAATCTTTATATCAACTCTGGAGTTCTGAGTTGGTCCCCACGCATATACAATTCCCATTAAATAAAAAGGGAATTCATGAGTCTACACTGATTTGAATACATAAATCAATGAGAAAAAAAAAGAAAGCTCTGCCCAACAGCAGAAGGCTAAGTAAGAAATGGAAATAATGATAAAATGTAGAAATTATGTTACTGCAACTGATACTGTAATAATTTATTTTAGGCAAGAATCATCCACGGATGGTAAAATTAGTAGGTGGAAGTATAAAAGTAAAAGCAAATTTCCATAGTTTCAAAGTACCTATCCATAAGATATTCATTAAGTTCAAGGAAAACTACTAGGGAGTTAGGCGTACTGACTCTCCTTGTAGTCAAAGGTCCATGTATAAGGTTTGCCTCCCCAAAACCCTAGCTACTAATAGCTTGCTATTGACTATAAGCCTTAACAACAGCATAATAAGTCAATTAACACATATTCACTATGTTATATATATTGTATTCTTACAACAAAGTTGAGAAAAGACAACATTTGAACTCAACACAATAGCAACAGGTGGCTATGAAATTATTACAGTTGTACAGTATGTACTACAGTTAATTTAATGCAATTATGATTTATTACTGCATCTTTACTTTAATTTGCGTTTCTCTCAACTTCAAATGCAGTTAAAGTTTACAAAGTTTACATCATGTCTCAACGGCATGTGCCTCCTGATATGATGTACCGAGAAGGGTGCAATGACGTCTGTAGCACTGCCCCAAAGCATCACCTGAATCTATTTTTGAAGACATATAAGGCAAACCAAAGTTGAGAGACATTTTACAGGATAACTGGCTTGTATTCTTATATACTGTCATAAACAAACAAGCAAGGAAAAATAGACTGTTCTAAGCTACAAGAGACTAAAGAGATGCGACAAGTGAATGTATTTTATGACCTGGGAGTACATAGGAAATTATTGAGACAGATAGCAAAATCTGAATAAAGTCTATAGATTAAATAGTTCATTTAAGCGTTAATTTCCTTATTTTGCCAATGGTAATATTGTTATGCAAAAGAACATTGTGATTTTAGGAAATACGATGAAATATTTAGTGGGAAAGAACATCAAGTCTTCAACTGACAAACAATTGGGGAAGAAAATTAAACATAACACACACATATATGTAGAGGGAGAAGGAGATAAACAAATGTAATAAGTGGTTAAGATTTAGGTAATCTGGGTAAAGGGCATATAGGAGTTCTTTGTAAAATTACTGCAACTTTCCATAAATATGAAATTAAGTCAAAAGAAAAATAACAAAAAATGAAAACAAAACCTTACATAAAGACAAAATGCAGTTGTAATAGCAAATCTCCTGGCTCCAAATGACAATGCTTGTAAGCAACCCCTGTTTAGGTCTGTCTCCTCCAAAGAGGTGGACATGGTTACCTGCTTCACTCTCTCTCTTCCCTTCTCCTCCATGTCTGGCTCCTGAGAAAGTCTTCTCCAAGGTTGGAAAGAGAGGGAGGAGGTTAGAGAAAGGGGTTTAATCCATATGTGACTGACAAGTTGTAATCTGGAGTTAGTGCCTTCTGGTAAGACAGATTCTAAAGTGACTTTTTTTGTCAGTGGGACATTGGTTATTTTTGGAGCTCCTGTTTAGTACCCACTGCATTTCCTGGTGTGAGTAATGCCTCAGCTAGCTTGTTATTCCAGAGTACACCTCCAGAGATAGTCAATTTTATGTCTCAACTTGGCTAGGTTATAGTAAGTAGTAACTCAATCAAATACAAATCTTAGGTGTTGCGGTGAAGGAATTGTGTATATGCAACCAACACTGACTTTATGTAAAGGAGATTGTCTTAGATAATTTAGATGGACCTGATCCCATCAGTCACTTTAACAACAGTTGAAATTTTGACAATCGTAATCTGATTAGGTAAATGGATGCCTTTTCTTTTAGGAAACACATACTGAAGTATTTAGGGATATGAACAAAACTGAGGTTTCCGTGATGAAGAAGAAATTCCACTTCTGGACTTCAGGGACAGCTCCTGCATGTTTCCAGCCTGTACTTCCTGACAGCCTACCCTACAAATTTAGCACTTGACCATCCAGGCCCCAAAATTATGTAAACCAACTCTTTGCAATAAATCTCTTCATCTATCTATCTTTCGATCTATCAATCAATCATCTATCTGTCTCTCTGTCTGCCACTTAGTCTGTCTTTCTAGCTAGCTAGCTGTCAGGCTGAAGCAAAAGTAATTGTGATTTTTGCTGTAATTAAAGGTAATGGTAAAAATTGCAATTACTTTTGCACCAACCTAATATCTATTAATCTAGGGCTAGGGCTATGTATCTAGGGCTAGGGCTTTTAATAGCTAGGGCTGTTGAAAGTATATTCAACCCAAGGTATCTGATACACACACTTTATAATAGCATGTGAGAAATAAACTCCTTCCTTAAAAGATTAAATATTGCTGTTTTTTCTAAAACCTAAATTGTTTTCATCAATTTCCACTAGAAATGTATATTTAATAAGCAGGCTTGGCACAGTAGCTGACAGCTATAATCCCAGCACTTTGGGCAGGCACGTTGGGAGGATTTCTTGAGCTCAGGAGTTTGAGACCAGTATAATGGTGTAGACTTGGTAAATCTTTTGACTGTAATGTTTATAACCCACATGCCATGTAATTCACTACCTACATAAAGGGGTTAGGGGATTTATCCAGAATGACATAGCATTCATCTCAAAATAACATACATCTTTTCTCTAGACAGCTCAGAATATTTATCGTTGTTAAAGCAAGAAGAAATATTTGGTAACAGGTTCTTGCTGTATGGATTGCTCTGGCTTGAATGGAAATCTCTACTCTCTCCAAAGATTGGTCCCTGGGTCCCAAAGCGTTTATCCCAAGAAGTAACTGCTGTGACTTAGGTCTTCAAGGCAGCTTTCATTGCTCGAGCTTTTTCTGTGATGTTCTTCTGAAAAGGCATCATGAAATCATCGAAGTCCACTTCCCATGTAAACCTCTCCCGCCGTAGTTCCCTCTTCCTGATCAGCTCTGCTGTTGTGGCTTCAGGACTCCAAATCTTAAAAAAAAAAAAAAAAGCCATGCCTGAGCAGGTATAAGCATGACAGCCGGTAAATATGCTAGTGTGCAGACAACACTCAGTACACAGTTTTAACTGAAAAACTTCTTTATAGTTTTAACTTAAACTACTAAATTAACTCTTAGATGTGTTTTAACTTCTTCCCCTCTCTCATATGACACCAGTGGTTACATGAGCATCATCACTGTTTCTGATGATGACTGTCTAGACATCTAGTGTCAGAAATGCTCTTCAATTACTTCTCTGGCCAGTTATGCTCAGATCAGCTGCTGTTTGTTTTTAGGATGCCAAAACAGGGAAGCAAAGGAATTAGAAGATCGTCTGGGCTTACTACCTATATGTCTTACGTAGAAGTCAAAATTATTTTTATAATAGAAGACGAGGGGAGCTGCTTGTTCAGCATGGTTGGATGGGCAATGAAAAGACAATTACTTTCCCCCTAAGATGTCTCCACGTCTTTAGTTGTGGATGTTTTAGGAAGCTGCTGAATAAATCCAGTCTTGTTTGATATGAAACCCCCACGTGATCTGGTAGTAGTAAGTACAAAGAAGGGCTGGGTCTGTGAAGTACTCCCCCAAAAAAGGTATCCTTAGGCCTTGGTGACTAAATAGCTGCAGAACATGCCATTGATTCACAAAGACTTCAACCTTTCAGGAAAATGTAAATTTCAATACAGAAATAGTAATAGAAAGAGAGCCAGATGCCAGGAACTATGAGTTGGGCATACCGAGTTGAAAACAGCAGAACCTGACAAAAGAACATTAGCAAATAGTAACTGTGAAAGACAAATTTTGTAGATTTGTTTGGATATTCTACATAAAAAACATTTGATAAAAATGACATTATGAGCTTCTACCTTGCTATGAAGATCCTTTCAAAGCACTTACCCTCCGTGGAATAAATGTGATATCCACCTTCTTGGTATAACCACTGGTAATCAATGAATTGAGATGAACCACACTATCCCTTGGCACTTTCTTTCCCTCTGATATGGTTGGTACAGCATAAATTGATGACAGTGGTTCCTGGAAACAAGACCAAAAATTATAAATTGTAAAAATCTATATTCACTTTCTAATATTATTTGCTATTTCACATCTTACTCTGAAGCCAGAAAAAAAACCTAAAAATGCTACTGTGCAAGTTATAATTTGAGATATAATAGTATATTACTATAACTTTGAGGATAGGGAGAGATAGTTTGCCTTATTTAACTTTAATTAGAAGTCTTGGTAGAAAATCACATAAGTCTTTGAGATACCCATCCTTGATCTTGGCCACTCATTAATCAGAAGGATGGAATCCTACTAAATAATGGTACATAAAGAAAGAACTTTAGTTGACTGATCCTCCTTTAGTTGACTGATCCACCTTTTGCCATCCTAACATCCTCCATATTTATAACTCTGCTGTCTATCTATAATCCCTTCATCCTATCTACTTCTCACCCCTACATTTCCCCAACCTTTTCCAATTTGATGACACTAAAGCTTTTCCTTCTTGACTTTCATTTCTTGTCCTGTGTCAGCCAAGTGTCTCCAGTAAATCTGCTTCCTTAAAAAAAGCATCCAACCGAGAGACACACTTAGGGGTTCCCTGCTAATGGTAAAGTCTTGATGTCTCAGTAACTCCACGGGCAACAACTTCAACTTTCTGCTGCAGTTTAGAAGTTCTTAAGCCACTCTGGATTACCAGAAATGTTTAAAACCTTCTACAACCATTTTACAGAATAGTCTACTTACAATGGCTCCGTATCCCAGAATTCAGTGGTAAAATTCCTGGGTGTAGGCGGCAGGTATGGGGAAGGGTTATGGTAGGCAATGAAAGGGGATATGGTGGACAAAATGAAGAAAAAATCATGCTTTATTTCAGTCCACATAAGGATTAGCCTCCTTCCCTATTTGGATCATCTCATCAAATCTGTATAATTCAGGACCAAATACATACATAATACAAATTTTGGTTTTCATTTTCAACATTCTAATTGTACTTGGATGAACCCATTTGGTTTTTGTATGGATTTTCTTTGCAGTGAGTTCTTTTTAGGCTCTTCAGTGATAGGAATTTTATTAGCTGTTTCTTTAAAAGTACTACATACTAACAGTACTGAAAGTATGTACTACATATTATCTTGCCCATGTTGTACAATATATAAATAGTGCTGCTGGCTTCCCCAAAACAGATTTTTAAAGAGTTCCAATTACTAATGGGTAATCAACCTTTTTTTCTTACCCCTTCTTTCTTAATTTCAGGGCCTTCAGTCTTCAGTATAGGAGTCTTGCCTTTTAGTTTTTGAGTTTCTGCTGATTTTTGCAAGTTATCTAGCTTTTCTTTAATCAGACCAATTATTCTGTTATCGGCATATGCCTTTGCAACGTCCATGGCAGTATGCCCTGTTGAAACAAACGTAAATTCAGAGTAACTATAAACATATTAATGATAAACCATGTAGAAAAATATCTCAGCACATCAGCTCTAAGCCTGCCCTAATAAAGGTGATTCCTATAGCAAATGATACCTATACGGATTTTTACAGAGCTAGGTCAGATATTCTCTATGGTAGTCCCAGCTCTAAAATCCCATGACGTATAGTACCATTTAAATATACAAAATTATTTTTTCTTAGTTTTTTGACTATGTTTCTTAAAAGAGTGACAGGAAATATTAGATTACATTTTTAAATATCAAATTGATTGTTCTCTCCCCACATTGTGCAAATTTCCTTCTGTGTGATAGTTTTGCATTATCTTCCCCTTTCCTTGATGTAAGGAGGTAAATTCCAAAAGGCCTGGGGAAGCTGATGGCTGGGCATTTTGTTACCCATAATATCATCAGGCAGGACAGGTACAGTAGTACCTGTGAGTCAGAGGCCACCTGAACCAACCAGAGGTACAATGCCCACTCAGATTCAAAGCAGGCAATGGGTTCCAACATAGGAAAATGATACTCCCAAACCAGAGCTCAAATATATTCAAATGATTTTTTAATTTTTCCTTTATGGTATTTATGATACAAGGCCATGTATTTACTTCCTGGAGTCAGGGAAGCCTCAATTCAGGAATTACTTTGTCCAGCTTTAAGAAATCCCAATTCTATAGAGTCTGAGTCTTTAGAGTAGGCCATTATTAGGAATTAACAGTAATAACAGTGTAATAATTCAACGTGTGATCTGCAAACTGGCGCAAGTTCATAAACTAATAGTTACTGATCCATAGTGAAGTAACTACAGAAAATAAGTGTTTATAAATGCTTATAGCAACTTAACATAATTTTCTGTCATTAAAATTTAAAGATTAAAAAGATTTGGCCTTGTATTTTGTTTTTTTTTAATTTTATTTTTCTAATAAATTATTTTTATTGTATTTCAGTCCATGAAAGATTGCAAACATAAAGAAATGGCCCTCCAATACCAGTGAATTGAGAGATATTCGGTATAAGACAAACTTCCGTAACATTTAACTCAGGCTTGTGTTTGCACCAGGAACCCAGGGGACAATGCAAGCCTATGATAATAAAACCAGAAGGGGCTTAGAAGCTAACATAAATTCTCCTTTTCTGACCGTAATCATCAATAATATGAACACATACCTTTTCTATTTTCCAGCTGGAATTTAGCACCAATATCAAGTAGGTATTTCACAGTATCCAGTCTACAGCTTTCAATGGCTCTACTTAAAGGAGTTGAGTTGTTGATTGAAACTGCATCTATTAAAGCCCCAGATTTAACAAGAAGCTCAACAATGTCTTGTTGGCCTGCATGGCATGCAAAATGAAGTGGAGTCCACAGAAAATTATCTGCTGCATTAACATTAGCTCTATAAGATAAGATAGATGCACAAAGTAAAAATACTGGTTGTTCCAAGGACTGGACACTGAAAAGGCAAAGTAAGACTTCATAAGTTCTATCGAGTTGTTAAACTGTAAACTCCGTGCCATAATTTTTCATCAAACCTCTTTGTTCTGCATTATTTGAGAGTTTTAACTTCCTTTGTGTATATCTACACATTAAAAGGCACTTTAGATTCTAGGGATTACAATTTTGCAAAGGTTAAAATCAAGGAAAATTACAAACTAGATCCAATGAAGATAAAAGCTGACAGGACATATAAAAGTTATATTATTCCATTTTGTGTCTACTTTCATTTAAACAGAATACATTTTTAAATGAAACTTCATTGTTAAATTTCTAAATATTACCATGTATTATTTAAAATTTTAGTCCTGTTTAGAAATTCATTATCCAGAAGTTCATATTCTCATTAGTTGCTCTCTTGATAATATACAAATTTGAGTCTTTCTTTAACATTAAAGTACTAGTAAGATTAATACTTTATTTCTCAAGTATGCAATTACTGTGTTAGTAAGTGGCATGAATCACACTACAGTCTCATTATGTAAATACATGAGAAAACTGAGGCACAAAAAGTGTTAAGAAACTCACCCCAGGTAATACAACCATGGAAGAAGGAATTAAACCTGAGTGATTGTTGTAATCTAAAAAGTTAAGTATTATAAATATGTCATGTATTGATAGTTTAAACATATTTACATGACAAGGGAAAAGAATGCCCCACTCTGGAGGAGGGCAGCAAGTTTTAGGACCAAAACGTGTTATTATAGCCACCATTCCACTTGTTTCAAGTTGTTGAGATTCCCAAAACAGAGGCAGATTGAAAAGTGACTTCACGTCTTCTAGGTGAAGCTCTGAGACAGGACTGAGCTGTGCTGCCATTGACAGAAGGCAGTAGTAATCAGAAGACTCCGTTAACCCCGAGTAAACACTGGCTTTCACTTTGTGCATAATTGGCAAAATATACTTGTGTACACACAATCCTGTGCTCCCATTATCCTGGTTTCCCATATAAGATCTATAGGCCTAATAGATTTATTACAAGCTTTAATAAAGGGGCTTAAAATCTAACATAAATTCTCCTTTTCTAACCCTGACCATCAATAATATGATACCTTTTATAGGGCATTTTATTGACTTTAAAGCCTGTATTATATCAGCATTTTTAATAAAGCATTAATAGCATTCTTTAATGAAGCCTGTAAGTTAATTATTATAGCCTTAATAAAAGGTTTTTATATATTAAAGCCTTAATTCATTATAGACTTTTATAAAGTAGCACTTTTCTATGTTACAAAAATTCTGGAACTAAATGTTTCTTAATGTCTTCCTTTTATTTCCTTGAAATGTGAAGACTCATGAAAATTTAAACCACACTCCACTGAGATGCATACCCTTTTTCAAGAAGAAACTTGACCACATCTATGTTTCCACTTGCACACGCCGTCATTAGTGGAGTTTTGTAATAATTATCCTTCATATCCACAGGTATTCCTGATTCAAAGGCCTTTTTCAGAGAAGCTAGATCCCCTGCCTTGGTGATAATATTAATGTTTGAAAATGCCTTCTCTGAATCATCAATGTACCAAGCAGAGTCATCCTGAATGGGATGTTCTGGGGGATGATCTCTGTTAAACCGGCTGCTATCAGTGACATTGTTGTAGGTCTCAATCATGTAATACGGTGGCCCACCATCCTGCCGGCGTGGAAACGCGTTGTCAGGAATGACACAGATTGGAAGGGGTAAGACAAATTTACCTTTCTTTCCTTTTCTGCCCATCCCTTTTTTCTTTTTCTTAGGTCCATAGGATCCTAAAACAAAAGACTTGCTTAAATATCTGGTTCCTTTAAAGAATTCATTAATATTGACTCCTCCTCCCCGGATTTTCTCATGAAGTTGGGCGATGGCAGCCAACTGCTCTGAGCTTGCATAATCTTGCATTTCCTCCAACACCATCACGAAGTCATTCTTGCTGACACTCCCGTCGCCCCTGTCAACAGCAGAAAAGGCTTCCCGCAGGAAAGCCTCACGTTCTATGGACCAATCGTGCAGTCTAAGGGCCCAGAGGGGATTTGGGTTTTTGGCTCCTGGCCTGGCTAGTTTATTAGCAGTTCTCTCTGCTCGGCGTATCTCTTTGCTTGCTGCTTTGAAGCCGCCTTCCTTAGCCACAGCCCTGGGCGTTTTATGATCTAAATTCTTCCATTTCAGGTCACATCCTAAAACATAAAGCATCATAATTTATGAATGGTGCTAAGGTACCTACATGGCTAATAAGTGACATTCATCCAACTGTTTTCTTAATTTCGTGTGATTCGTCAAAAATGTGTCCCCAAATTATATGTGTATAAAGATGCATACATTTTGCTTTTATAATTACAAAATTGAGCTGTGATTTTTTTCTGTGAGCATCACTTTGGTGAATTCTGAAGAAGATAAGTTAACAATTTATAATAGGATTAGAACATTTATCCTTAGAGATATTTGAAACACATACCATATTGGTACACTTGCTCAGGGGACTTCAGGCCAGTAGGAAAAGATCAAGGATGCATTTGAATTTGGAAAGAAGCTGGATTCAAACAGCTTACCTAGGACCTTATGAACTCAGATCTGAAAAGCAGCAGAATACTCATGTCCTTTTGAATGATTTAGACTGTCAATCTGTGTACAAACTTAAAGTCCGTTTTTTCTATATTCTTCATTAAATAATGTAATTTATGCTAATCTGCTGTTTTGTGGTACGGCCATGTGAACAACCTTCACAGAGGAAAAAGTAATTTGTAATTCAATCTGAGGAGTTCATTATATTTATGTATGTGCAAGTTAGACATGAAAATTCATTTTCTTTTTTGGTCCCTTATTTAACAAAATGATGAGACCAACATTATTTGTAAATATTCACCAAATAAACAAACTTTTTTGAACATGTTAGGGAATCCATTTAGTGCTACCAAAAAGTTTGTGTTGTCTATAATAAGTGTTTTGAGACATTAAAAATCCATTGTATGTGTAAGTAAGGCTTTGAAGAAGTAGTCAGACTATGTTTTTCAGGATTAATACTTTCCTTGGTATTGTCAAAAATTAAAATTTTATATTATGGGTAAAAAAAAAAACAAGGATGAATAAGACCTCTGATCTGATAGCAAAACAGGGTGGCTATAATCAATAATAATTATACATTTTTTAAATAGCAAAAAGAGTGTAATTGGCTTGATTGTTTGTAACACAAAGAATACATGCTTTTGGGGACTGACACCCCAGTCTCCAGAATGTGATTATTCAGCATTGTATGCCTATATCAAAACATTTAACATGCTCCACAAATATATACACTATTCACAAAAAAATAAAAATTAAAAAACAAAAAATCGATTTTACTACACACACATACACACACACTTTTTATACTAAGGCCAATAATTTTACTAGTAATAGAAAAACTAAAAAAGGCTATTGAGACAATAAAGATTCCAAAATTTCTCTTGGACAGTTATAAGAACAGTGACTTGATAGTGTAATTCCATAGCATAGTAATTCCACAGTGCAATTCCATAATACTTCTGATATGCTGTTTTTACTTAGCTATTTATTTTTCTTATTCAGGGTGTCTGGGGGTTTTTGCTCCCACTTCTCAAGCCACTTCTTCTGTGTTCACTCAGCACTAAGGACCAAAGGATTTTCATCCTGCTTCAGCTCATACTCCGCAGCTTCCAGCTTCCTCCTGGTTAGAAACCGCCATGTGTATAAAAGAAGACTCCAACATCCCAGTTTAAAGAGCTAAAGGCAGTTTTCCTGTCCTTTTGACTTGGAGCTTCCTGTCTCCTCCTTTATGATTAGTAAATAAAAGATCCATTCATTCTCTGTGAGATTTATGTTCCTCTGTGGTAAAGATGTTCAACTTTCAGCTCGCTGGTGCTGCAGAACTCAGGGAGTTGAGGGCCCAGGAAGAGGAGGAGGACTCCCCGAGCTCCCCACTCCTCTGCCCTTGGATGTGGCTCTCACATGCTTACAGGGGGAGTCATAAATTGCTGCAGCAGGAGGATGAGGGGCCAAAAGAGGACCATCATGAGGAAATGTGAGAAATGAATCCAGCCAGCACAAGTGGTTTACAATTAAGTACACAAGAGACTAAACCTAGGGAGCTTATTCAGAAACAAGCATTTTATCGCCGAGGGTTTCTTGCTGCTCTGACTGCCTTAGATGTAAGATTCTAAAGGTGGAAATGTAACTGACAACACTTCTGCTGTGAAACTGGGTCACCCACATAGGATCTGGTGACGTGTTTATATTTCCAAACACATAGAGAACTCAGAATATTTTCAAACATTTGCTTTAAAATAGCCTCATGGTTTATTCTTCTAGGAAAGTGGATATTTTCTGCATCATTGAGTTAGGCCTTTTTGCGTGACCCAGGCTCTGGTCCTTGGCTTCTCAATGTGCTTTCTGTGATGTTATTCCAGGAATACATAAATGATAGAGTATGTGTGACATTTGTCCCAATAAGAAATAAGTCAGCATATTAAAGTTAGAGAACCTTGTCTCAACCTGGGTGGATCTTTAGTTTTTAGAAACACACAATGTTAACTGAAATGCCAAAATAAACTGCTAATAGTGACAGATTTGAAAACAAAACCAATAAGACTGTTTGAAAGAACCAAAATTGCATTTGATACATTTTTTTCTCATTTGCAAAAGGGTTTATTATATTGGGGGCATAGTGTATACATTTATAAAAGTAAAAATGGATCTGTTTTTATGCTATTATAGCTATGTGGGCATGTTACTCTTATAATTTTAGTGACTTCTAAAATTTTGTGTCTATGTGGAAGACAGAAAAATAAAACACTTTCTTTGCTCTATTACAGACTTGTTAGACTTTAAGTTTTTGCCTATTTCTCATAAACGAAAAAATATCTACAGTTCTACAAAATGCAGTTCTATTGATAACAGTTAAAAATCTTTTAATGTGTATTTAATTAGCATGTAATTAACAAAAGATTCATTCATATCCTTAAATGTAATTAACTAGTATTTTCATTTTAAGAAACTCATTAAGCTATATATGATATGTTCATATTTCTAAATTAATACTTAAAAGCTACATGAAAATAAAAAATTAAAAATTTTGCTCATGTTTCAAATTTTCCATGAAAGTTTTCATTTCATGTTTTCCCTCAAATTATTTTCCCCATAACTGCAAATTATCCAGAAAAGTTATCTTCGTATTTGATATAATGAAATATTTTTAAAAATAAAATAATTAAAAATTCAGATGAAAGCAAATGGTTTTCAGTGTATGTCCTTTTTTAGATTGATGTTGGCATTTTTAAAATAAGAAATTTAATCAGGTTTTTTTTTTTTTTTTTTGACAGAGTCTCACTCTGTCCACCAGGTTGGAGTGCAGTGGTGCAATCTTGGCTCACTGCAACCTCTGCCTCCCAAGTTCATGTGATTCTCATGCCTTAGCCCCTCAAGTAACTGGGACTACAGGTGCCATCACCACATCCAGCAAATTTTTTTTTACAATGTTAGTAGACATGGGGTTATATCATGTTGGCCAAGCTGGTCTTGAACTCCTGATCTCAAGTGATCTGCCTGCCTCAGCCTCCCAAAGTGCTGGGATTACAGGCATGAGCCACCACAACCTGCCCTCAACCGTAAGTATTTTAATGATTAGTTGGCTCAGGAACAATCCCCTTTAGGTTTTAACAATAACCTAAACATTTTGGAGAAATGGGTTTTCATCACTTTTAAGATCAGATTCATGATTTAACAGAGGGGTAATATAAGAAATAATTTTCAATTTTCTTTCTACATATGGGTGAAATTTTGCTATAGAAAAAATAAGCCACTGACAAGTGATTGGCCCAAAGTCTCTGCTTGTCTATGACATAGGTAAATCATAAATACTTTAAGCACGAAATTGCTAGACAACTTTACCTCGCTGGGCTATATATTTACAGCAATCTGCAAAACCACCCATGGCAGCATAATGAAGTGGTGTGTTCCCATTTAACGAAATCAGTCCCATGTCTCCATTGTAGGCAAAAAGAAGCTTCAATATCTGTCAAATAAATAGTGGATATTGTGGAAAAACAGAAATGTACATTTATTACATAAAGACTGGCAACTGGACCTGCGCTATCCAGTATATTATCAGTTAGCCATGCATGACTATTGAACATTCAAATTGAAATGAACTAAATTGAAAATATTTAAGTTTCATTCATTTTTTTCACTAGCCACATTTAAAGTACTCAAAAGCCACATGGACACTGTGTTGCACTGTGTTGTATAGCACAAATACAGAATATGTCCATCATCACCAAAAGTTCTATTAAATAGCATTGGTCTAGAGCATAGAAAACTCTATACTTCGACGCAGCACTACCATTTTTGTTAGTGTAGGTAATTTAAGAAAGCATGAGAGCATGGAAAACAGTATCTAGGGGGAAATTCTTTACCAAATGTGGTTTCTATTTTTGTGTACATTTTTATTGCTGGGAAAATAGTGATATAAATGAAGATAACTATGTTAAAACAAAGACAATTAAGTAAAGAAATTTCAGATAAAATTCAGAATTAAAAAAATAGTGCTAATTCCTATTTTGTTTCTGCAATATTACTAGATCAAGAGATATTCTTTGCTGTATGTTTAGGTAATCAGAATGCTTGAGTTTAACATTCAGGTATATCATTATCTAATACACACAAGCACCAAGGACATAAGAGTATAAGGGTACTGTTCTCCCATAATTAGATCGTATCATATTTTGAAGATCCTAGTATGTATTGAAGGCATAAAATACAGTAGTCCCAGGTGGCAGAAATTTTAAATTATTATCAAGTACACAGCAACAATATTATTAGCAATATTAAATTAGTAAATTTGAAAACACATAAAACTAAATAATGAGATAACATTTTAAAAAATATAATTTTAGAGTAATTTAGGGAAATCAAGATGAAAACCACATAGACAACTCAGAAAAAAAGTCTGCCTTAGTGTAATCTACATGACATATAAACATTTTGAGAAAAGGAACAGAAAAGTTTTAGCAACCAATTTTAAAGCAAGGAAATGATTATTACATCAAAAAAGCCTCCTTTCGCAGCAAAATGAGCGGCGTGATGCCTGTCATTGTCCAATGTATTCACTTCACCTCCTCTTTCCAATATGCCTCGAACTATTTCCACCACCCCTTCTCTTGATGCTTCCATTAAAGCCGTGCGGCCTGTGGACTGGACATTAAACAGATGAGATGCTGTTTATACCCATCATATTAAGTAGCAGAATCAGTACAAATAGTCAGAATCCATTTAACATTAGCTTTACACTTACAAGTTTAGTTCTCTACACTTTTCTTATTACAAAGAGGAAAAATTAACCAAGTACAATGGGTCAGTATCTAAAACATAGAATTCTCAAATCAAGACTCAAGGTCACACTGCATGCCCCTGTGAGAATATCATGTTAAAAATATATTTCTTGCAAATAGAGCAGAACAAAAAGGGAAAAAAAGAGATAAAATATCAATACCTAATATAAAATTAGGTCACAGGTGTTTTCTAATGAGAAGAAAATCTATTTTTAGTGTCAAGAAAGGGCAATTAAAAGAAAACTTAATAAAATTAGCCAAGTAAAGAGAGTGAACAAAATTGATGGAAGAAATAGCAGAAGTATGCTGGGCATGCCTATAATCTCATCACTTTGGAAGGCTGAGGCAGGTGGATTACTTGAGGCCGGGAGTTCGAAATCTGCCTGGCCAATATGGTGAAACCGTGTCTCTACTAAAAATCCAAAAAAAAAAAAAAAGTTAGTGGGGAGTGGTGGCATGCAGCTGTAATCCCAGCTACTCAGGAGGCTGAGGCAGGAGAATTGCTTGAACTGGGGAGGCAGAGATTTCAGTGAGCCAAGATTGGACCACTGTACTCCTCCAGCCTGGGCAATGGAGTGAGACCCTGTCTCCAAAAAAAAAAGGAACAGCAGAACTATATATTTTCTTTCCAAAAAGATATATCCTATTAGGTATCAGCAATGCCTTATTTACTATTCCCTATAATGATACTTTGACATTATGCATAATAAATACCAAGTTTCTAAACATAATTAGGAAACAGACTGTAGAATCATAGCAATATGAAGATAATAAAGGTACAACATCTTTAAGCATTTTGAATCAAAATGAATAGTCTATAAGCTAATAGGATTATGTCATCATATTTAAATGCAAAGATTATATATTATGCTGTAACTGAAACAAGAAATATTTGTATTCACAAGAATAGCCATACTGGATTGATTGCATTGGGATCGGCTCCTTTTTCCAAAAGTGTCAGGCATACATCTTTAACATCATGTGCTTCTTCACAAGCTCTAAGGAATATTGGCTTTCCTTCATAGGTAGAATTGTTGAAATCTGCACCATGTTCAAGGGCAATCAGAGCACAGCGATAATGCCGTTTAGTCGGTAAAATGCAGTAAAACAAAACGCCTGCAGAGAAATAAAATCCCCAGAGAGCATTTAATTAACAATCTATACATATTTGACAGAACGGAAAATAGAAATATTAAATATCCATATTTAGCTAGTTAAAGGCATATATGCCTTGGTTTCCTCTCTGAAACCAACTAAAACGCTGAGACAGAAAACAAAAAACCAACATCCTTAATTCCTGACGTACTTAGAAAATAGTCACAGCCACATGTGATAGGACCCGGCTTATGAAAGAAATGGAGTGTTGATAGGTGAGCCCTGTTGACTCTGAGTATTTGGCACCTTGCAATATGTACCCTGAGTGTCCCTTGCCGGAATGCACAGGGGTATGTGTGCTAAAGAGCTACTGGCAAGTCCCCAGGTTCCCTCTAAAACTGCAGAATGGCAAAAGAGATGGTACTGGGTGATGAAATGTGTGTAGACTGATCATGTTTGTAAGAAGCAGGCTGTCAGTATAGCAGTAAAGAGATGAAAAATTAGATGGCAAGTATCTCAGCCATTTTGGTAAATCATTTTGCTCCACTGGAGAAAGCAAAATGCTAAATCCCTAGACCCAGGACCTGTAACATACAGGCCATCCATATAATCCATGTCAAAAACATACTACACATCAGGGTTACTGTTATAAACCCAGGGCAGAGTATTGCTAAGAAAAATCTAAGTAAACAACAATCAGACTCCAAACTGACTTTGTAATGAGCCCATTCCAAAAAGGGGCTTCATTTAAAGAATAACCAAAAGAGAAACCAGTATGCAAACTATTAAAAAAATACTGCAAGGAAAACAGAAAACTGATAATAAAAGCCAAGCAAAAAAGACACACTAGAAGCTATCCTAGTGAAAATTATTGGCTGATTCATTTCCATGATAGCAAAGAAAGTAAATATAACTTGTTCTAAAATAAAAGTGCAAAGATAGACCCTAATCTTAAGATTAAAAGAGTATGTTGGGTCTTAGGAAAAGTTGATTAAGAATAGTCAACAAGGCATGCTTGGGTAAAGCTAGGCAAAGAAAGGGACTTGTGAGAATCCAGGCAAAAATTCAACTAATCTATAAAGAGGAATACTCAAGCTGCCCTCAAAAATTTATCACAACAATATTCAATACTACAGTACAATTAAAGGATCTCTACACTATACTTGGGGGAAAAATAGGGAAATTTTATACCCAATCAAGACTTTGTTCATATATAAAAGCAATAGATACATATAATCTTAAGGATTTAAGAAATCAGGGATATAAGCCCAAAGAAGTGAGTTAAACTACTTGATTGAAAAGTGAGTCTTCCAGAGACCAATAGAGAATATGTGACTAAAAAAAGTGATAAATACTGAATCTCTTTAGCCATAGAACCAAAGCTAAGTCACCTTAGTAATTTTAGATAGAGAAAAGAATATTGCAATTCATAATAATGTAAAAATAAGGTAATTTAACAAGAATTTGGAGAGAAGGGAGGGAAGAAGAAATAGTATAAGCATTTGATGTTCTAATTTTTGGGGGCTGAAGACAGATATTATTTAAAGCAGGTAAGGAGATAAAAGACAGGTACTTATCATTTAAAAGTATACAGGGAATCATTGAAAGAACTAAGTAATTATAATTAACTATAAAATTGGATGATAGAAGGGAAGTAGCAGAGGTAAGAGGAAGGGTTATTGTACTAATCTTATCTAATTTGTACTATTTACTAATATTACTAATCAGAGTAAAGAATCAGTGAGTACTACTTAAGATGCTACCTCAGTAAACAGGTTTAAGGGCATACAAGTATCAAGTTAACCATTAAAAGAACAAAAAACATCCCATCAATTTTAGAAAATATACTTGTAAACATATAAAGAAAAATACACATATACAGCAAAATAAAACAAATATATGGACCATATGTGACAATAATTTCACATATATTTTTATGTACTAGATATATTATGCACAATATAAAATAAACAACATTTCTGAAGCCAAACTTATGGGAAATCTAGATAACTATAAATTGCATAAATTCTACCATTAAAATAAAATAAAATGTAAACAAAAATCAAAACCTAAATATATTTTATATAAACTGATATACTTAAAATAGAGTTACTCAGAACAGTTAAAAAAAAAAAAGAGGGTCAAGGATATTACTGAAAAGAGAAAGTCAAAGACAGACAAAGACATAGAAGGCAAGAACAGACCAACAGCAACAATGACAACAAAACAACCTAAGCACGATACCCGAGGAGGCTGAATTCATTACAAAAGGTCCAGAGCCACTTATGAAATGGCTATTTCATAATGAAGGCACGTGCAACACACAGTTAAAGTCTATCTGGGCTGACTCTTCAAGCCACAAAGAACACGAATCAACATTCCTCAACTGAAGGAAAAACAAGATTGAAAAATATTGGACCTTATCATAGAACTGGCATACTGCATTGAGGACTTGGTACACATTCTTATAAATAGGAAAACTAATAAAATGGGAATGGGTGCTATAAGGAACTACTATAGCTTATCTTTTTTAAGGAGAATAATTCTACAGTGTAATTGATTCCCTAGGACAACATACAAGAAAGAATGTATTGGCTTAGAGCTTTACCTTCTCCACATTGTGTAAAATTGTTCAAAGAGAAAGTGCATTTTAAGCCTAGGTCATGTCTCACATCCTAAAGACCCACTTAGCCATTTAAATGTTTGCTTATCCTTTAGAAACGAGGTACAGTGAGTCAAACATTAGTCACCAGAAAACAGGATGTCAGTGGCAGAGAGTGTACTGTGGAATAAGCAAAGCAGTTTGGCCAGTGGCAGCCAAACTGAGGGATGCGCAAGGTGACTGAGGCTCATTGATGTGGAGAAGAGACCAGGTACGCCGTACAATGGGCAGTACCTTGGGTTACGCAGAGTGAAGGCTGTCGGCAGCTATCCTAACAAGCTTACATGTGAAACAAGATTTTACATTTGTTTCCTAGCACAGTTTCAGTTCTGCCTATGAGATTTGTTTCCTCTAGCCAAATGCCTGTTGCATTTGCTGCAAGTATTTACTTGACCTTGTTTCCAATTTTACCTTCTTTAAAAATTTTTTACACTTTTACATTTTTATGCTATAGAATTTCTGTCTTTCTTTGTGATTTATCTCTCTGTTTCAAACTCAGTAAGTTAAACTTTGCTCTATTATAGTGTTTCCCAAAAGTTAGTCCACAAAACTCCAGGCATATAAAATGCCATCAAAAAACTATTTTATGGTCAAATAAATAAGGAAAATGTCACCATTTCTGAGCCAACAATGTGAAAGATGCATGCCTAAAATGTTTCTCTAATGAATGTGACAGTGGAGCCAATTTCTAATGTAGTACTTCTCAACATCCTGGCAATTCAGTGGTCCATGGAATACACTTTGAGGAATGGTATTCTACAGAGCTTTGAGAGGCTACCATTTTTTCAGGATTTACTATTTCAAAACACATTTGGCTCCTGAATGCATCTGAAGTTTATTTTGTTATGTGGTACTATTGTAATTATCCCTTTTCTTTTTCCTCTTTTGTTCTAAGCAAGTAATCATATCAAACACCAAGTCTAAAGAGAGTTACAAAGCAGATTTTGCTCTTGTCAGTAAACATTAACATTATAAAATGAGATTCATTTCTCCAATGCAGGGCTGATGTTAATGGCTTTGCATTGGCAGCAACTCAGGACGACAACTGCTTAAACTTACCAGTTTACGTTAAGTTTACCGGTAATTATCTCAGTTATTTTTATGAGGCTGTGTCAATTTTTGCCTGAACCTCAAGTTATTTGGGCAAGAAGTTCTCAGACCATGGTCTTGAGATAATGGGATTACAGGCGTGGAAGTGCAGCTCTTTCACCTGAATAATGGTTGAAAGATCATGTCTAAAGTTTGAGGTTGGATTTCCAAATACATTTTTAAACAATCGTAGAAAGTTGGAGCTTATGCCAGAATTGACTTTAATCCTTTCCAGTTTCCAGGTGCAAGTCCTTCCTACCTCAGACTGCTATCGAGGGGATCAAAATCCTTTTGGAGTTCTAGGTGTAGTAATGCCTGAGATTCCAAAATGTAAAAAAAAAAAAAGAATAAGAAATGTTCTACCTCATCGTTTTAAACAAGAGCTTAGATTTTATAATGAATGATCAGTGCATATAATGTTCAAACTTCTGCACATTTAAAAGAAACCACCAAACACAAATTAATCTAATTATATGAGCAAGCTCTAATAACTGATTTCCCTAAGATACAGCAATCTCATTTTCAAATCATGAGGAGGCAGTAGGTTTAAGTATACTAGTGAGAATTTTGCCTTTCACTTAAAACCGTAAGTAATTCACTTCTAAAGTTGGAAAACAAAAAGAGTCCATGTTATTCATTTCTGGCTACAAAGTGAATTGCAAACTGCTGTGGAGGATGTCGGGATTTTTTACCTTTTCCTTCATTATCAACTATAGTCATATCAGCCTTTGCCTTTGCCAGTATTTCCATCGACAATTCATGGCCCAGTTCTGCAGCCCTCATGGTGGGAGTACAGCCCATTCGGTCTTGCACATCAGGGTGAGCACCAAGGTCAAGGAGAAAGCTGACCATATCAATATCGTTGGAAACCGAGGCTAAGTGCAAAGCACTAAGTCCATCAATGGGGTCTGTAAAATTGATTAGTTCCGGGTATCCAAGCTTGGTCAGCTTCTCTATCTGCTTCTTGTCTTTGTTCCGCACACACTGAAGAACTTTGTAGATCTGTAAGTTCTCAAGTCTTTTATCTGCTAAAGCCATGCCTGACCAGCTCCTTGAAAACACTTTCTGGACAAAAACTAAAACTGAAGCAACAAAAAAGAAAAATAATCAAAGTTAATTTTATCATCTTCATTTTGATCAAATAACAGTATTTTGGAACTTCCTTAAGAACAAAGATTGTTTTTTATGAAATGTTCAGAAAGCAGGATTTACACACAAATACAAAAAATATTGAGTAGGCATAAAGTTAAAACAGTTCAAAACAAATCTTCCATTATAATGATAAATAGTTTGCCAGGTGGTTTTCCTATTATCTCATTTAACCTTTCCTCCTCACCACACTTTCCCATCTTACCATGAAGAAGCTGAGGTTAACTAAATTGCCATGGCAAGGGTTTGAGTTCCCATCTATCTACATGGTTTCATATCAGCACAATACAGAGATAATACAGGTTTTAATTGTCTTAAGGTGTTATAAAAACATGTAATTTTGAGTTGTTCATTGTAAAAAGAAATCTGCTGGGCTCTGTAACATATCAAAGATGTGATGAGTAATTTCTATATCATCTTATGTGGGAAAGATGTAGTTAAATGGCTGTAAGACAATTGTAAATCTTCATAAACAATCCCCCTGTTAAATTGTGATGAGCATTCTAGTATGTAATTTTACTTCTTTTTATGGAAAAGTAATGTTTTGGATTGAATAGCAGGTCATGCTAGGTATGCCCAGTTGTTTTTCTTTCTTCATTTCTTATGAGAAAAGAATTCCATTATCACACAGGGACTCCTATCCAGTTTGTTTGGATGGGGATGTCCCTTCTGTCCCCTACCAGAGGAATGGGTCTGTAACCTAGGCTTGGCCTTTTTGAAGGAACCGTCCCTCTCCAGGTACACCGAAGCTCAACCATATGTGCATAAAAGACATCAACCAATTAGCAGCCCATCTTCCAGAACTATGAGGGAAGACTATTCTGCTAAAATTATTAAATAGTGTGGTGTGAGGCTGGGGCTACAGGAAGCTCTCCTGGCTGACACATAGAGAGTCCATTCTTGGAAGATAGAGAGAGACTAAGACTGATGGCAATAATTGCAACATGGATTCCATGGTGCCAGAAACCATTATGTTCAGGATGGCATGAGTAAATATATCCTCTCCCTGTCACCTTATTTTGGCATAAGCTAGTCAGCTGGGTTTCCCACATTTGCAATGAAAAGATTCCATCTTACTACAAAAGCTAAAACTATGCACCATTTTTCTCTACCATAAGCCTGCTCCCCCACCCACATTCTCTATGGCAGTGAGCTCTCTCTCCTTCAAATTGTGTCTCTCTAGGAACCATAACATCTCCATTGTTTGCTTCCATCCAACACCACTGCCCACTCCTTCTCAGCTTCCTTTGTTGACTCCTGGTTTCAAGAAGCCTAATTGTTAGGTGGCCAGGGCTAGGTCCTCAAGACTCTTTTCTGTCCTTACACACTCCCCTGGTATTTCGCCTTATCTCATGACCCTCGACCTTCAGCCCAACTTTCATCTTCTGACGGTTCACTCTCAAATTCACACAGCCATCTCTGATTCTCCCCAAGGCTCAAACATGTATCCACCAGTCTACTCTTCTTTCTCCCTTGGATGTTTAATAGGCATCTGAAATGCAACATGGTCAAAGCACGACTGTTCATATCATCTGATCTTCTCCATTTCTCCCCATTTCTGATAATGGCATCACCATCCATCTACCTACTCAGATTAAAACACCAGGATTTACCCTTCATTCTTTCTCTCCTCTACAGATCCCCTCATTCTTTACATTCAGCAGCCATTGCTGTCAACTTCACCTCCAGCGTGTATCCTGACCATCCCCATGCTACTCTCCTAAGCCAAATCATTCACCTCACTGCTTCCACAACTGCCCCCTCTAGTTATTCTCTAGACATTTGCCAGAAAAATCTTTTAAACATGTAGTTCAGATAAAATCAGACAAGCTTACAGTCCCTAACATTTTAGTGTAGTTTCAAACAGAAAGTGTGTGTTGAACACCCATATATACACCACTAAAATTCTACCAGTAATGATTTCCTTGCTTTATTCCATCTTTATCTCTCTATCCATTAATCCACCTTATTTTTTAATCTGTTTCAAAGTAAACTGCAGGCATATTCCAACACATATACCCTTAACTGGAGTTCAAATATTTATTTTACATTTTTTATTTTCTCGTGTTTTGAATACACAATGAAACATACAAGTGTTAATTGTACAAATGCATATAGTTGTGAGTTTTGACAAATGTATATACTTGTGTAATCCAAACCCCTATTAGGATACAGAATATTTCCTTCATGCTAGAACGTTCTCTCCAAGTTACCGTTTAAAAACATTTCAATAGCTTTCCATTATAAAATGAATAAATCCCAATTGCTCACAACTATCTCTTAAAGACACTTTCCCTACCTCTCTTCACTCCAGTCTCTCCTGACTTAGTCATCTCTAGTCACACTGGCCTTTTGTTTATGAATAAAAGCTCATTCCTGCTTCTGGAAGTTTGTACTTCTTTCTCCTGCCCGGACAGCTCTTCGTTCAGAGTTTACGCTGATTGGTGTTTCTCACCATTCCAATTCCAACCACCATGCTACCTTTTCCTCTTGTTTTATCTAAAGCACTTATTGTCTAAAAACATTTTGTACAGATAGAGAGATGTTTAATTTCTGCATTGTGCGTCTCCTCCACTAGAATATAGTCTTTATGGAACAGAAGCTTTATATTATCATTGCCATTGTTTCCCTATCACCTAAAAGCTGACACATGAGGCATTCAGTAAAAGCTTGCTCAAAAAATTCCTGAAAGTTAACAGAATTGAGGGAAAGGAATAAAGGAAAACTCCTAACTTTCTGGCTTGAACAACTAGATACCTGTTTCTGAGATGGGGCACTTAGGATGAGGTCCAGACTGGGTGGGTAGTGTAGATCATCAATCTTTGGGCATTCGGAGTTAAAACCTACAAGGCAATAAGGCATGTATTTCAGGAGGTCAGGAGAGATCTAGGCCTGGTGTATGGGGAACTATGACGATTTCGGTGGTTGCAGAAAAAGCTGAGACAAGAAGTCAAGAAGAGAGACTACCAATATCAACTGCATGCTGTTGTCTCATTCTTTCTCCTACTCTTCTGCCTGCCTTTTCTTTGTGCTTCCTTTTTCCTGCTAGGACATCAGCCATCATATAGCTGTGGCTTCAATATCCTGTTTGCTGTAGCCCCTCTTTTGCCGTTTCTTTCTTTCTTTCTTTTTTTTTTTTTTTTTGAGATGGAGCTTCCCTCTGTCGCCCAGGCTGGAGTGCAGTGGCATGATCTTGGCAACCTCCACCTCCTGGCTCCAAGAGATTCTCCTGACTCAGCCTCCTGTATAGCTGGGATTACGGGTGCCCACCACCACACCCAGCTATTTTTTTTGTATTTTTAGTAGAAACAGAGTTTTACCATGTTGGCTAGGCTGGTCTCGAAATTCTGATCTCAGGTGATCTACCCACCTCGGCCTCCCAAAGTGCTGTGCTGGGATTACAGACGTGAGCCACCGCATCCAGCCTCTTTTGCCTTTAATCTGTTTATAACATGTGCTGGACTAGGGAACCAGTAACGCAGCTTGTTAGAATCAATTGCTGAGGCAGCCTCAGTCATCCATTTGGCCTTTGCTGCATAGCTTGGTAACATTCACCTTAGCTGCTCTTTATGGCTTGTTTTGTTATTACCAGTCATATTTCGATTAGGTGCAGTGTCATCATACTGCATATGTACATGTGTCATCTGTGGAATAGGGCAAGATGCTCTTACATAGGTAATGACTGCACTGAGTCAATGCCACCTGATTGGTGTTAATAGGAATTTCCTAATCAGGGATTTCAATGTTCCCTCTGTTAGCATCCATCCCTAGTAGAGAATTAATTGGCACCTACGATGATGAATTCAGCAGTCCAAGGCCCAGTTTCCTGTGGACTGCCTCCCCCATTGCTGGGGAGAGGGTAGCACCCTGTGTAGTGTCCTTTATAATCAACTGCAAAGACTGACCAAGAGCTCACCCCACTGCAGGAAATCACACAAGTGTCGCTCTCAGGTCCTGGGTTCCTTGAAAATTGAGCAGCATGTAGGATGCTCTGGAGGGCCTCCACATATAAGCACACGTGCTCTTTTCCCCAGCATGACCCTGGGCCACCTTAGACACATCTAACCATCATCTGCAATGACAATCTCAAAGGGGAGTGGAATAGAGCAGAATCTTGACTTGAGCTCCATGTTCAGGGTCTGAATACTCTGAAATTACATGAAAATCTGTGGGAATGTGTGTGTGTTCAAAGGGGGCTGTACAGTGGTGAAAGTGTAGGGTTTGAGGTGTGGAAATCTGTTGTGATCCTCCCTTCCCTGTATCATTATTTACACAAACTAGCTGGATAAATATAGACAGGCTACCTACCTAGTTTGTACCTCAGTTTCTGCATCTGTGAAATGGGAATAGCAATGGTGCCCACTTCCCTGGTCTATGTGAAAAGGAAATGAGATAATTCTTGTAAAGTATTTAGCAAAGTCCCTCAATATAGGCTCCTTAGGAACATCAAACTTGTGGGTTTCAGCTCACCCGCGGTGTGACCAAGAGTTTACATTTTGGGGGTTCTCTACTGTGCTTTCCACTTTTTAGTCTCCAGAAAAATCCGAAGAGAAAAGTGCAACAGGTAGAGACGTAACGTCAAAGGAAAGGCCAGGTGTCACGCTCACCTCTTAGGCGTCAGGACGATCAGGAGACACGGATCTCTGGGCATCTAAGAGCCTGGGCCTGCGGGGGGCGACCCGGGCGGCTCCTGCTCTTGTACTCCGACGCTCGGCGCGGGCCCAACCGCAACCTTGGGCTCCTGGAGCCTGGCGGAGACGTTCAGGCGTGAATGGTGTCCCTTTGGGCAGAGCAGGCGAGGTGGCGCGCGGGGCAGCAGGGCCGGGTGCGTGTGTCTATGGGCCCGGGGTCCGCGGAGGACGAGCGTGCGGGCAGATGAGCGCAGGAGGCGGGATGGGAGCCGCAGGGACTGGCTGATTGTGAGCTTCCGCCACGCGGGGCGCGGCTGCCAAGGCAACGGCCGGGTGCGCGGCTGGGCGGGGCTCACCCCCACCTCCGCCTCCGCCTCCGCACCCGCCTCCGCCTCCGCTCTGCGGGTCTCGCGTTGCCGCCAGGGGGCCCGGCCGGACGGGATCGGGGAGCTGCCCTGGGCTCTCCCGGAATCCTGGACCCCAAGGGCTGAGCACAGAATACCGCGGTCTTCAGTATTCCGCCCTTTTTTCATCCTCTTCTCCCACCTCCTGCCCTGAGTCAGAACGTAATTTAGTTACACAAGTAAAGCTACATATGGTAATTAAAAATGGAATCAAATATACAACAAAATAGTTTACAAAGTACAATTAAATGAAAAATACAATAAATTACACAATAAAACGAAAAGTGAATCTACTCTCAACTGCTGCAGATTCTTGTAATTCTTCCCAGAAATTTTCTTTCCATACTCTAGGATGCATATATGCTTAAAAAATATTTATACACAAATGGAAGCAAATATGGAGATCATTTCATTTCAGGGCTTACAAGTGCACCATAACACCCCTCCCTCTCCCTCCACACATACTTTTTGGCGGAAAATTCTGAGAGTTTTGGTTTGATTATGTGAATGTAAATCATAGGGGTGTGTGTGTGTGTGTGTGTGTGTGTATGCTTTTTAATGCAGTATGTAATTGCTTCCAATTAAAAACAGTAATTCCTCACACCAACCTATCCTATTCTACTCAGAGACTGTTTAACAATGTTAAGACCAAAGACATTGAATCAACCTAAATGTCCATCAATGATAGACTGGCTAAAGAAAAATGTGGTACATATACACCATGGAATACTATGCAGCCATGAAAAAGAACAAAATTATGTCTTTTGCAGGAATATGGAACTGGAGGCAATTATCCTTAGCAAACTAACCCAGAAACAGAAAACCACATACTGCATGTTCTCACTTATGAGATCTAAATGGACACATAGACAAATAGAGACACATAGAGAACACATGGGCACATAGAGGGGAACAACACACATTGGGGCCTATTAGAAGCATAGAGGGTAGAGAGTGGGAGGAGGGAGAGGATCAGGAAAAATAACTAATGGGTACTAAGCTTAGTATGTGGGTGATGAAATAATCTGTAGAACGAACCCCATGACACAAGTTTATCTATATAATTAACCTGCACATGTACCTCTGAATTGAAATAAAAAATAATAAAAATGTTACTAAGGACTATTTTATGAACACCAAAATATACTATGTGATATATAAAAAGTACAAAAAAAAAATGCAATGCAACCATGGCTAAAGAGAAAGAAAGCCGGAAAAAATAAAGGAAAGAACAAAAAGTCCAAAAGGTCTGTCTCTACTGCTGTACCCCTGGTGTATTTCTTCCCAACACTGCATCCTCCTCTTCCTGTTCCCAGAGGTAGTACCTATCCTGAATTTTATAGTTATCATCCCAAATCATCCCAGCCTCTCTCTCTCTCTCTTTTTTTTTTTGAGATGGAGACTCAAGTCGGTCACCCAGGCTGGAGTGCAGTGACCTGATCTTGGCTCACTACAACCTCCACCTTCCAGGTTCAAGCTATTCTGCCTCAGCTTCCCGAGTAGCTAGAACTACAGGCGCATGCCACCATGCCTGGGTAATTTTTTGTATTTTTAATATAAACAGGTTTTCAGTGTGTTGGCCAAGATGGTCTTGATCTCCTGACCTTGTGATCCACCCACCTCGGCCTCCCAAAGTGTTGGGATTACAGGCGTGAGCCACTGTGCCTGGCCTATCATCCCAGCCTCTTAAAAATGCATTGCTTTTATATGAATGCCTCCCTAAATAATGTGTGTTTAATTTTTTTGTATTTTGAGAATTTATAAAAATGAGGTGGAATGTTGTGTATTGTTTTGATGACATTTTTCTTTTCAACATCTTGTTTTTGAAAGATACCTTTGTTGATACATTTAATTTGAGTTCCTTTATCTAAACAGCTGTATGCTATTCCATTCTATTACCATTCCACACACCTTTCAAATCAATTCTACTATTGACAGACATTTGGTGTATTTCCAGAATTTGCTGCTAAAAGCAATGCTACTATGATCACGTTTATACATGTCTTTGGATGCACACATTCAAGTGTTTCACTAGGGTATATGTCTAGGAGTTCAATTTCTGGGTTATAGGTTATTTGTAACATCAAGATAAAGAAAACTTGTTTTTCAGGAATATATAGCAATTTAGACTCCCATCAGCAGTGTGTATCTTAGCCAGAACTTGGTTTTGTCACACGAAAAACTTTCTGCTAATCTTGTGGGTATAAATGTACTTTATATGACCTGATTACTAATTACTAATCTGTAAGTTTGATTCCTTGGAGATGTTTGAGTGTAAATTTATTGTCAGGCTACCCTATTCACCCTCAAGTACTTACAACCTAACTCTCAGATTATTTTAACAGAACCAGGGTTTTTTGACATACTGGAGTCTAGCAACGATGAACAAGCCCCTCAGGTTCCTTGGGTCTCGCCCTCAAAAGCCATAAAAGAAGTACGCATAACAACGGAATAAGCTCCATCGTGGCTCTGTAGTGGATTCTTAAGGAATACTTCGGATAAACAGTTCCAACTATGTGTTATAAGTTGTCAGTAGATTTTTCCAATGATAATCTTCCTCATGTTTGAAGACAAAGTTGATGCCAGTGGCAATCTTGTTTCTATTTTGGAGAAAGTTCTTCAAGTTACTTGAGAATCGGGTAGATTTTGGAGGGAACACATCTAGAAGAAATTTGCTTGGGTCATATCAGGACTACTGGTGCAAACATTTTGAATAGAAGTTGGGTTAGCATTTGTTGGTTGATTGAGACTCTGGAGATAAGCATGTGGTCTGATTCATTCTCCTAACTTCATTTTAGAGATTTTTTTTTCCCCTGAAAGGATACTGTCTGAGTTTCATGAAACAATCTTTGATTTTACAATCAGGTAGCTGAATAGTAGAACAATAGATAAACACATTTAATTTCAATCTTTTTAACCTAGGGAGGCTACTTAAGCGTTATTGCTGAACTATTTAAATAACAACTTCATGATAATGAGGGGGCAGGCATGTGTAAAATTTTGGAAATATCAGATAAGTAATTAGACACAACATTTCTCCTCCAGAGGAGAACTGAGAACACTGCAAAACCTTCTTAACTTGAACTTTATTATTTTTGCCCTGAGCTAGCTGGCACTAGAGTTGTCGGAATTTGGACAACACAAAGGAAAAATGGGAGGAAAGGCTATTAAATATTCCTGCTGCTCAAAACATAGCTAGTTGGGAGATGACAGAAAAGTTCACGTTGTTCTTGCCAACAAGTTGGGATACAGACTGATGCATTGGCTAAATTCTCCAATAACCTAACTTGTGCTGCTGTCTTTGGTATGCAACACAATTGTATCATTAAATTACAACTATCTATTCAAAGGGCTTGCAAATTTAATACTTCTTACATAGTCCTAGGCATTCTGCAAATTATTTAGCAAATCAAATGTGATTCTATTGAATTACCACACACACTTTTATAAAATTTTTTCTTACAACCCAATAAGAAACTGCATTTGGTATCACAAGACCTTAAACTCTTTATTTACTGGTCTGAAAGGCAGGCTATAGAGCTCTTGTTCTATAACAGCACTTATATTCATTAATTTAAATTAGAAGATAATTAAAGTATGAATTAGAAACTGATATGGCATACTATTGGGTGATAATGTATTTAATGGGAAATAAAATTTGATGAATCACTATGGAACTTTTTATAAGACTGAGGTAAGGTCAGTAGAGTTTTGTTATCATTGTAGTTTTCAGAATTATTTACACAAATATCTTATAGTGTTCACGTTTTAAAATTTTTTTCTTCTAAAATGAACAAAACTTTTCAGAATGCCTTTGTGTTGTGGAGAAGTCTATTTGCCATTCTACCCCTGTGCAGTGATTTAGAACTTTATTTTACAAGTAAATGATGGATTGATAACATATTTAATTGTTTCCTTCCCAAAAGGAAATAAAAGCATGTCAAATAACTTTTGAAGTGAGAAATAAATTAGTTGACAACATAAAGCACCACTTAATACTTCCATTAAGAAACTGTTTTGACTTCTTTATACTGGAACAACTACAAAACAACTCTTGAATGAATAAGGGTTGAACAGTATTACTTTAGAATATGAGCAGTTTGTAGATAAATATATTCATATCAAGATCTGCCCGTCTTTTTGGCTTAAAGTAAAGCCTCCCTAAGATCGCATGGGGGAGTTTTTGTGAATTTGAAATGCTTATCTCAAAAGCTGTCTTGTTACTTAGCATATTTTCATTCTTTGTAGGATATTGAATCTTGGTTCTTCTGAATCCTCTCATCTGTTCCTAAGAATTTTCCTCCTCCTTCTGTTGTCCAGAATATTTAAAATACAAATTATTTATTCTTCATGGATAGACAGAATATAGCTATGAAATCTGGTCTTGCCTTGTCTGCTTTCTGCCTTTTTTTTTTTTTTCCTGGAGTGCAGTGGCACAATCATAGCTCACTGGAACTTCTGGACTCAAGTGATCTTTCTGCCTCAGTGTCTCAAGTACCTAGAGCTACAAGCATGAGCCACCACACTCAGCTTGCTCTTTAGAGGGTACATTTTTAATCGTCTTTCCAAACTCTTGCACGGAACTTGATCTATTCCTGTTTTCTACTTCAGAATAAGGTCAGTTTTCGTAATTTGTAATTTGTTACGCAATCTTCTGTGTCCTCTCAGTTTTCCAATTTATTGCCATATAACTGTAATTCTTTGAAACTTCTCTGATTGTGAAGTTATAGCTCCTTTCTTATTCTTAATAACATATACACACACTTTTTTTCTTTTAATCTGAATCATGAAGGCTTTCTGTTTTTCAGATTCTTTAAAAGAGCAGATTTTTAAAACCTTTTTATCCTTTCTAGTATATTTTATTGTTTTCAATTTCATTAAATTCAGCAATTTTCCCTTTATTATTTCTTAGTAGTATATTTCACTTTATTTGCTTTTTTCCTAATTTCTTAGGATAAACACTATTTTTTCTTTTATTTACTTTAGCAATGTAAGCATTTAAGGCTATACATTTTCCCTGAAGACAGTTTCATCTGCATTTTATAGGTTTTGGATTAGTGTTCTTTGAATTGCTTCCTAGAGAATTAGTAACATTAGTTGTGATTTTCTCTTTGATGTGGAGAGAACGTTTCTTAATTTGCAAATTCTTAAACTTTAGACTACCTTTAAATCATTCATTTATCTTTGACAGCCTGTGATCAGATAATATGACTATTAAATCTCGATTTTTAAGAAAAGTTTTTTGTGTGTGTATATGGTTAAATACATAATTGATTTTAAGAACTATTTCATAGGCATAAAGTATATTATCTGGAAAATAAATATATGTAATCAACTTTGTTGTATTATTCTATTTTCCTATGTATTTGGATTATACTTCAATTTACTGCCTCAGTCTAATTTTTATAATGTATTAAATCTCTTGTAATTGTATTTTAATCAAATTCTTCTTATATTTCTAGTAATTTTTAATCAATGTATTTTGTGGCCATATTGTTTGTGCAAATAGATTTATGTCGTCTCCTAACTTTTGCCACTGTTACTATGTCATCCTTTTTCTTAGGTCATGTCCATAACCTTTACTTTCTCCGTGTTTAATATTTATTTCTTTTTGTTGGTCTCAAATCTCTTATTTTTAATCTTTCATTATCAATTTGTTTATAAGAATGTTTCTTATAAATACTATATAATTAGCTTTCTGTTTTTATTTAATCCAATTTAACTTTCTCTGTTTTTTTGTTTTTTTTTTTTTTTGAGATGGAGTTTCCCTCTTGTTACCCAGGCTGGAGTGCAATGGCGTGATCTCGGCTCACCGCAACCTCCGCCTCCTGGGTTCAGGCAATTCTCCTGCCTCAGCCTCCCGAGTAGCTGGGATTACAGGCACGTGCCACCATGCCCAGCTAATTTTTGTATTTTTAGTAGAGACGGGGTTTCACCATGTTGACCAGGATGGTCTCGATCTCTTGACCTCGTGATCCACCCTCCTCGGCCTCCACTTTCTCTGTTTTTAAACGAGATAATCTAGTATAATGATATTTAGTGTAACAAATGATATACTTGATTTTGTTTTAGTCTCATTGATTGCTTATTATCTAGGTTATTCTACTATGACATCTTTTTAAAAAACACTTTTATCAGTTTGGTCTTCAAGACCCTCCTTATTAACCTGGGGAATCTGATGACCTTTTCTTTATCCCATTAATAATCACCTTTCGTTTTCAGGCATTAATAGTCAAACATCTAGTTTTTTTAAAATAAAAGTAAAATAAATCTTTCTACCCATTTCTAGATGCTTGATTCTCCCAATGCTTTTCCAACCTAAAAAAAAAATTTTGTCTTCTACTTCCCCATTTTGTTTTCTTCTCCTGGATGAGATCTTGAGAATGATCTTATATCCTTCCAACCTTCTACCCAGCCCTAAGTCTTGAGTTTGGCCAAGATAAGTTAGAACTTCTAATTCCAGGCAACTATGGTACTATCACTGGCCGTATAAATGCTCCATGTCAACGCCCATGACACATTTGAAGGGAATCTTTCTTTTTGTTTTCATTGAAAGGCAGTTAGTTTCACATTGTGGTTATGAGCTTGGGTGTTCATATCAGACTACATGGATTTGTTTTCTCAGAGGTGTTGCTTGCTAACCATGTAAACTTGGACAAGTTAAATATGATTTTTGTGCTTCGGTGAAAAGAAGAATTATACTGTGGTTGTTTAAAATGTCCATACATTCTTAAACCCTTCCACAAAAAACTGGAGCCTCATACTCCTCCACTTTTCTGTTTGCTGAATTTAGTCTCTTGCTTCTGGTAAATAGGATACAGTGGAAATGACAACGTATGACATATGAGTTGCAGTCATAAAAGACACTGTGTTTTCTAACTCTCTCTCTCTCTTTCCCTCTTTCTGTCTCTCTCTCTCTCTCTCTCTCAGAACATTCACTCTGGTCTGGGGGAAGCCAGCTGTCATGCCGTAAAGACACTCAGGCAGTCCTACGAAGAGGCTCATGTGGTGAGAAACTGAGGCCTCCAGCCTACAGCCATGTGAGTAGGCCATTAAGGAAGCAGATCCTCCAGGTGCCTACAGCCCTGACTGACATCCTGACTGACATCCTGACTACCACCTTAAATGATACCCTGCGCCAGAGCCACTACTTCCAAATTCTTGACCCCCAGAAATTGTGAAATAATATTTGTTGTTTTAAACCACTAAGTTTTGGGAGTAATTTGTTATATAGCAGAAGATAATTAATACATCCACTTCCTAAAATAATGGTAAGGAATTAAGGATACAGCATGGAAAGAACTTTGCTATTATTTTTGTTATCTGATCCAGTTTATGTTGAAGAGCCTTCAATACTTTCTTCTTTTAATCTCTCTATCTTGACATTTGTCTGAATCATTTATTTGTTTGTTTGTTTTTTAAAGATGGGGACTTGCTATCTTGCCCAGGTTGGAGTGCAGTGGTTATTCACAGGTAGGATCCCGCTACTGATCAGCACAGGAGTTTTCACTTGCTCCATATCCCACCTGGGAGGTCACCATACTGATGGCAAACTTACTGCGGACAACTGATCGGCATAGTGCCGTACACCCAGAACCCCTTGGCTCCGGTGATCCTCTTACCTCAGCCTCTTGAGTAGCTGGGACTACAGGCCCACACCACTGCATCTGGCTAGTTTGTTTTTGTTAGTGTTTTGTCTCTAGGATTTTCCTCAGTTGATTACAAGAAGGCTAGCTTCTCTTTGTGAATCTGCAAATATCCGTATTTTAACCTTTATTTTACCATGTATCGTTTATAGGTAAATGATAGCTGTGTATTGAATTTCTGGTATTTTTTTTTCTTCAGTACTCTACAAATGTTATTCTACTGCCTTTCAGCTTCTTTTATTTTCTCCTAGTGAATGATTATTCTGCTTTTATCTAGCAGGTGATAAATCTGCCAACAGATAGCTTTTCCTTTTTGTTTTATGTGTAAGTTATTTCTTCCTTAAACTTCGTAATCTTTTCGCATTTATTCTTTAGATTTTAGAATATAACCAGGATGTGTTTAGGTTGATATCTTTGCTTACCAGTTCTGCCTGGAAATCAGGAACCTCTTCCAATATTCAGACCTGTGTTTTCAGCTCTGAATAATTATTGTATCATGTGTTTGATGATTGCCCTTGGTCACACTGGATCTTAATTAAAATGCCCATTCTGATTCAAAGTATCTGGAAGACAAGTATTTGTCAACTAAGGGAAAGGTGGCCATGTTCATTGGTTTTACTGAGACAATCTGGTTTACACCTTCATGCTTTATACTAAGAAAACACTGCAATCGTCTTCTGGTCACAAAGTGACAAACTTCAGGACAAAAGCCAACCAGCTAAAACTAGCAGAGCAAATTTCAAGAACTTGGGGCTTTAATTAACTTGAATTAATTTGGACTTGCCCTACTTTTAACTTCATACTGAATGAGAATATAATTCCCCATATTTTCAAGCCATTTTTGAGATGAGTCTCTTAAGGCCCAAAGCATCCTAATTTATACAATATCCTTTTGGTACCTAACTAAATATTTACCAACATTTGGCATATTTGTTTAATAAATCTTCTGGTGTCTGCCTCTTGTATGCAATGTAATATGGTCTGAATATCCATTCAGAAATTATAGTTGATTTGCAAAAATAAGTATTATATAGCCTATATTAATTGATAGTTACTTCTTCCCAACCTTCTTTTACTCCTCTATATATATGCACAGTAAACCTACATCATTATGTTGATTAAACAAAATAGCAGTGACATCAGGAAGTTACTGCTCATTGTACATTTATTTCAATTACGGAAAAAGCCAAAACTTTACTTCCGTATTTACTTCTCTAGAAAAGCAGGTGAAATAACCTAGTGTCATTCTAAAATGATTTGTACACTATGAAAAGCAGAATCTAGGGCTATACCTAAAATATATAAATGAAATTATTCTAGAAGTTAAATCTTCATGAAAAAACAAATAAGCTGATTAAATATTTTGATTGAATGCAGCCTCAGCTAGCACCTTGTTTCATGGCTGCAATAATTAAGTATAATAAATGTTTAAATCAGTAATTGAATTTGTTAAAAGAACATGTTCAGCTCCGTGAAGACTTTCTAATAAATAGAATTCAAGTACCATATTTTCATGCTTCATGACACTTGCTTCATCTTAGCTTAATGATTGCCATTTCTTGCACTATAGCAAGATTTTGTTTTTATTTTGTTTCATGCAGCTCAAACAAATATATTCAAAGTCATAGGCTACACCTCTGTATAACCATATTCCAGGCGTTGGTTTATACGTTTGTTTATTTTTTCACTAGTAAAGATAGGTCAAATGTTACCAAATTAGTAAGCAACTAAACTTGAGATGAGAAATACTCTGGAGACACAATCTAATTAGTTTTGCGCACTTTTAGTCAGTTTTCCCATCACCCTGTCCAGCTTTTCAGTAGCATGGCCTTCATTTCACATGACCATGCAGTAAAGGGATGACTGCACTTAGAATTTTGTTTATTTTCCTGTGCTAACATCTTAGAAGTTTAAGATAACTGATGTTCAAAACAGCGTAGATTTCCTTTTATAAACAAGTTGGAAAGGAAACTGTTTTTGTGTTTTTATCCTCAAGCATTTTAATTAATTTAAAACGTCTTCCAATCTTTTAGGCAAACCATTTAGAAAAATAGTACAAATAATACATTTATATTCTGTTAAGCTGTGATCATATTTTTTTCTCATGAATTACTTTTGAAATTATCCTTATGCACCTGGTGATACTGAAAGATGAGCCCAATAGTATAATATAATAGGGCAATATAAACTTCTGTTTCCATTAGTTGCATCAATTCAAATTGCATCTGGAAAATATCTAAGCATGATATAGAGCCAAGACAGCAGATGAAGGTGATGGCAGACAATAATATTTAGATCTTTGTCTTCATTGCATCAATTAACTTTCATTGGCATCACAGTAATTCACTAACATTCATTTCTTACAGGCAGTTATGAATCCTTGAACAATTTTAAACATCATCTCATAGGCAAAAGGATATTTATTAATTGGCTTAGATTAACAAATCTTTATTAAACACCTAGTGTGTGCCAGGTACTGTTCTAGACACTGAGGTTATAGCAGTTAACAAAATAAATACACTCTCCAGTGTCATGGAGTTCACATACTGGAAGGGGAGAGAGATACATACAGACAGAAATGCATATATAATAATTCACAAATTGATAAGTGTTATGAAGAAAAATAAACCATGGTAAGGGTGACATAGAGCGCTGGATGGAGGTTTTAGTTCATATAGGCAGGCCAGAGAAGACATCTTGGAGAAGTGCTATTTGAGAAGAAGAGGCTCAGTGGATTCTGAGGGGAGAATAAGTTCGAGATTCTGAGTCATTTGTGTCCTTGGCAGACAGATCAATAAAGAGGAAGCAGATGCTGTGACTAGAACTCAGTGTGCATGTTGGGCAATGGTAGGAGGCTATGGTAGTAAGACAGTGCCGCCTCCTATATAGTCTTGAAGACCATAGGAAAGACCACCACATCTCCTCTCCAGCGGTAGGTCATCGGAGGAGTTAGAGCAGAGGAATAGTGGCATTCTATTTAGGATTTAAAAGGATTTCTCTAGCTGATCTCTGGAACATAGGTTTGTAAGGCAGTACAGTGAATGAAAGGAGAGAAGGTAGGAGCTTGCAAACATCCAGGTAAGAGTTTATAACAGACCGTGATGGTGTGGCAGATGCATTTCATGTGATGGGCTCAATTAATGACTTCCATGTTTCACCTTTCTCTCTCTTGGAACTGGCTTGCCTGCTGGAAGGTGAGGAAATAGAGCCTGACATCCCAGCTGAGGCCATCCTAGATCAGCCAACTGGCAGCTCCTAGTGTGTGAATGAACCTCAGCCAAGAGCAGAAGACCTGCCCAGCTGAGCTCAGCCAAGATCAGCAAAACCTCTCAGCTTATAAACGTATAAACTTACCAGTTTAGATGTGATTGTGACACAGAATCATTGTATCATTGTATGCATTGTAAGTATTATATATTATACATGGCAATCATAGATACATTGAAAAGTGAGTCATTTCTGAGTATATATTGAAGTTAGAGCAAATTGTGTGAGGTAGAGAAGCCACATACTCCAAATTTCTGGTCTGTGAGATTGGAAGAATGAATATGGATGACGGAGGTGGATATTGAATCCAAAATAAATTTTTCATTTTGTGAAATTTCATTTTGTGTTGAATATCTTGTGATTCACTGAAATGAAAATAATAAAATAAAATTTGTCCCAAATGCTTAAAATTTTATAATATCATGCTGTTCTTTATGAAAAAAAATATGGCTAGGCATGCTGGCTCATGCCTATAATCCCAACACTTTGGGAGGCAGAGGTGGGAGGATCACTTGAGGTCAGGAGTTTGAGACCAGCCTGGCCAACATGGTGAAACTCTGTCTTTTAAAAAAAACTATCAAACATCAACATGGATTTGGCTAGAGATGCAAGAGAAATAAAAACTCAGTTAAAAACCTGCTTCTCTTAAGACACTCTGCTACAGGAAAAGTATCAAAGTCATACAGCCTCATTATTTTTTGAATAATGTTATTAAGTATTTCTCCACTAATTGTGGAACTGGACCTTTCTAGGTGCTGGCCCTTTACCTGACCAGTGTGTTTTCCCCCTGCTGCTGTGGGTGCTACTGCTAGTGGCTCACAGCTGTTCACTCTCCCGGGAAATGCCCTTGGCTAGTGGGGCCCACCTACAAGGAGATGCCTGGGAAGTTACAACCCACTCACCCATCAAATGAGTAGTGCAGAGACACAAAAGGCCAGCCCCTTGCCTCTTGGTGGGACAACTCAATTTTGTCTACAATGCACACAGAAGTCAGCATTGTCATTTCCTCCTAATTAATAAATATTTGATACTAGCTTTTCACTGCACAGAAATTAAAACCCTATAGTATCTCACTGTTTTATCCAAAAACATTTAAGTCCTGTGTTCAGTATCCTTGATTCTTGCTC